TGCTGGTGGGACCCCCCGAGCTGGAGGCAGCACTGCAGGGGGGTCTCCCCACAGCGCAGCAGAGGGGCAGAATCCCCTCCCTCACCCTGCTGGCCACGCTGCCGGGGATGCAGCCCAGGGTGCTGGCGGCTTTCTGGGCTGCCAGCACACATTGCTGGCTCATGTCCCGCTTTTCATCCACAACTGGACTGGTTTTAGGGCACAACCCTCTGTTTGGGGCACAACTGAGTGGATGAGCACCTCAGCACTCTTCAGGAAGAGCCAGCTCTGAGCTGCTGGCAGGAGAAAAGCCGCACTCACCACATGAGACACCTGGAGCTTGTTCAGTCCCAGCGGAGAGCCCGAAAACAAACTTCTCACAGCAAATAGTTCGGCCACACGCGGCTGGGAACCTCGCTGCACCTGAAAGAGTCACGGTGCGCATTGCCGTCACCTCCGACGGGTGTTCATCAGCACCAGGCAGGGCCGAGGCAGTGGCACAGGCAGGACGGGCAATACCGGCCACAGCGTTGACGTACCTCAGTGCAGAGCTCCTGCAGGCGTTTTTGGAGCTGTGGATCAGCCAGGGAATGCGCTGCCAGGGCTAAACTCTTCACCACATCCGGATAGGAGTCTCTCCGGATGGCATCGTAGGCTTCCAGGAATTCAACCTGCTGGCTGGGGGTCCAGAAGTAGCGGATCAGGAGCTGGCGTGGGAAGAAATACCTTGGAGAGAAGAGGAGAGAAGGATTCAGGGAGGAAAACTGCACACATGAGCCGGAGCAGTCGGATTTTGTGCTGCTGGAAAGAAGCGACCTGTTGCGCCAGGGCAGCACGTCTCACCCCGAGGAGCTGTGGATGTTCATTCCTCCCAAGGTGTGAGCTCGGGAATCACAGAATCGTTTACGTTGGAAAAGACCCTTAAGATCATCAAGTCCAACCGTTAAGCCAACACTGCCAAGTCCACCACTAGACCACGTCCCTAAGTGCCACATCTACATCCCTTCAGGGATGGTGACTCCACCCTTGCCCTGGGCAGCCTGTTCCAGTGCGTGACAACCCTTTCAGGGAAGGGATTTTCCCTAATCTCCAATCTAAACATCCTCTGGCGCAACCTGAGGCCGTTTCCTCTCATCCTGTTCCAGTTCCCTCCTCTGCTTCTCATGAGACTTATGCTCCAGACCCCTCACCGGCTCCGTTGCCCTACTCTGGACACGCTCCAGACCCTCGATGGCTTTCTTATCGTGAGGGGCCCAAAACTGAAGCGGTATTCAAGGTGGGGCCTCACCAGTGCTGAGTCCAGGGGGATGGTCACTGCCCCAGTCCTGCCAGCCGCACTAGTCCTGATACAGGCCACGATGCTGCTGGCCTTCTTGGCCACCTGGGCACGCTGCTGGCTCACATTCAGCCGGCTGGCCACCAACACCCCCAGGTCCTTTCCCAGCAGCCCCTCTGCCCCACGCCTGGAGCGCCGCAGGGGGTTGGTGCGACCCCAGTTCGGGACCCCACACTCGGCCGTGCTGAACCTCACACCACCACCCTCAGCCCATCGATTCGGCCTGGCCACATCCCTCTGCAGAGACTTTCTACCTTCCAGCAGATCAACCCTCCCACCCAACATGGTGTCATCAGCAAACCAAGGGTGCACTCGATCCCCTCATCCAGATCATCGATAAAGATACTATAGAGAACTGGTCCCAGTACTGAGCCCTGGGGAACACCACTTGCGACCGGCCGCCGACTGGATTTAACTCCATTCACCACCACTCTCTGGGCCTGGCCACCCAACCAGGTTTTAACCCAGCGAACCGTACGCCTGTCCAAGCCACGAGCAGCCAGTTTCTCCAGGAGAATGCTGTGGGAAACAGTGTCACGAATGAATCAATCAGATCTGAAAAGGTAAACAACATCCGCGGCCTTTCCCTCCTCCGCTAAACAGGTCACCTTGTCACAGAAGGAGATTTGCTCCTCCAAAGGCCGCAGCGAGCTCGGGAAGGAGCGCTCCAGGCGATCGGATCACTGCCGTGCCTGGCTGGAGCTTCTCCGCTGCAGCCGAGGCTCAACACAACACGGAGATCTCCACCCTGCACCGTTTTACACAGCAGGGTTCTCTCACCCACCCGCAGGACACAAAAGCCAGGGAGCAGAATTGAAAAATCCCGGGATTTAGCCCGGATTTAGCTCTGGCAGCAGGACAGCTGGCAGGCAGAGAGACGTTCGAAGTGCTACGGAGACAGCTGGGAGGGAATTGTGCAAGGAGGTTCCTCCAGCCAAGCACGCACAGGGCTGTTCCCTGCATGCCGGGGATTATTTCTCCGTGTTAGAAACAGGGAGTCGGGCGGGCTGCTGGCAGGCAGGAGCCGGTATTGCGAAATAATGGCTGGGCTCAGCAGGCTACGGGTATTTTTTATTACAGTGAGAGGTGAAGGGAGGAAGGGAGACCATCTGGCTGGATTTTTAACCCTAACACACCCCCACCCCCCCCAATTCTTTGAAATTTAAAATATCAGCGTCAAGGAGCCCAAAGATCGGGGCCGCGGCTGAGCCCTGGAGGTCACCACGACGCCAGTACTCACATCAGGACGATGACCAAGAAGTTGGCAAAGGGCGGGATGGCGATAACTCCGATGGGAATGGCCTTGATCACGTCCCTGCGAAACTGCCTCCAAAATTAGAAGAGAGAATCAGGATCTGGTGCCAAACTTGCAAAATTCCCTCAAAATTAACAGCCCCGACCTCAGCCGCAACTTCCAAACCCTGTTTTAAGGCAGGGAACGTGCCTCACCCGGAGGAATCGGCCTCTCCGACCCCCCACCGTAGCCCCACAGATGAACTCGAGCCCCTTTTTGCAGATCCAGGTGGCACCGAATGGTGTCTCAAGCGCCACACCGTACCTGCCGCAGCCTCTCCATCTCCCGGTAGGGAAGCTGCTGAACGCTCAGTCTCTGATGGGACATTTTAGACTTGATTTTTCTTATTTCTTTGACTTCCAGGAAAAGCGCTTGGATTCCTGCCAAAACAGAGAGCACCTTCAAGTCTCAATTCCCCGGCAAACACCTCCAGCACTGCAGTTTTTAACCCTGGGAAGGGAAGAGGCAGCGCAGCCAGCTGCCTCCATTCTCCCTGGAGAAAAGGAAACGTCCCCTCCTCCTTGGGACCCACCTTTTGTGAAAGTCGCGTACAGCACGTAGAAACGGGGGAAGGTCCTTTCCAAAAACCTCTCGTACCTCCCGTTGATGTGCTTCACTTTTGACGCCAAGGTGGCGAGGACGGACCTGGAACCGGCCTTCGCGGAGAGGCAGCACACCGGGGACCTGCAGTGAAACAACCCCCACAGCACCTCCCGATTATTTCTGTGAAGGTTTTGCAGAAAAGGCTGGCTCATGCAAACCTCATGAGGTTGAACAAGGCCAAGTGCAAGGTCCTACAGCTGGGTCGGGGCAACCCCAAACATGGGCACAGGCTGGGTGGAGAATGGCTGGAGAGCAGCCCTGAGGAGAAGGACCTGCGGGTGTTGGTGGATGAGAAGCTCAACATGAGCCGGTAATGTGGGCTGGCAGCCCAGAACGCCATCGGCAACCTGGGCTGCATGCCCAGTAGCGTGGCCA